AATGGGCAAAACTAATCTCCAGTGATAGAAGTTAGACTAGTGGTTTCCTATGGGTGGGGTATGGGTGTGGGAGGGAGTAACAGGGAGCTTGAGCTTCTGGAAATGTCATATGTCTTGATCAGGGAGGTAACTACATAGATTTACATACATGTAAAAAGTCATTAAGCTGAACATGTTGGGTGAGTGCGCTTGTATGTTAAGCTTCAATAAAGCTATGCAACTATTAGAAGAAAATATAGAGGTAAATGTTCATATATCTGATAAGGATTTGGTACTCAGAATATATTTTAAAATTCATAAAATTCAACAACAGAAGCAAACAATCCAATTAAAAATTGGCGAAACACCCTGGCCAGTTTGGCTCAGTGGATAGAGTGTTGCCCGCAGACTGAAGGGTCGAGGGTTCAATTCCAGTCAAGGGCATGTACCTGGGTTACAAGCTCCATCCCCAGCTCCGGTTGGGGAGCATGAGAGGCAACCAGTCAATGTGTCCCTCTCACATCCATGTTTCTCTCTTTCTCACCCTCCCCCTCCCTCCCTCCCTTCCACAATGGAAAAAATATCCTCAGGTGAAGATTAACAACAATGAAAATGGGCAAATGACTCAAATAGACATTTATCACACCCAGCAAGCACATGAAAAGATGTTCATTGATCATTAAGGAACATGACTGGTTTAAGGAAAAGCAAACCAGACACAATGAGATGCCACTTCACACCTTTAGGAAGTCTTTCATTTTTAAAATGGAAAATAATCAGTGTTAGCAAGAATGTGGAGAAATTAGAACCCTCCTGCACGCTGGTAGGAATGTAAAATGGTGCGATCACTTTGTAAAACAGCCTGCCAGTTCCTCACAAGGTTAAACAGAGAGTTCCCATATGACCCAAGATAAATGGAAACATAAGTCCTCACAAAAACTTGCATGCAGAGCATTATGCATAAAAGCCAAAAAGCAGAAACATCCCAATGCCCATCAACTTATGAATAAATAAACAAACTGGTTATCCATACAATAGAATATTATTGAGCCATAAAAAGGATGCTGATACCAGCTACAATACGGATGAACCTGGAAAACACCATACTAAGTGAAAGAAACCAAATGCAAAAGGTCACATCTTGTAGGATTCCGTTTATATGAAATGTCCAGAATAGGCAAAGCCATAGAGACAGCAGATAGTAGTTACACAGGCGATGGGGAGGAGGGGGGTTTGGGAGTGATTAATTAATGGGTATGGGGTGTTTTTCTGGGATGATAAATAAAAGTTTTGATACTCCAATTTTTTGGGGGGAGGCAACCTATTTTTGGAGGCCTTGCTTTGGCAAGCTGGAAAAAAAAGTTTTGAGACTAAATAGAAGTGGTGGTTGCACAACATTATGAATGCACAAAAATCCACTGAAGCGTACACTTCAAAATGGTTAATTGCATGTTATGTGGCTTTCACCTCAAATTTAAAAATAAATAAACTTCCATTTTAAAAGTGAATGGAAACTGAAAAACTAACATCACCTCCAAGGCCCCGGGGGCCCTGACAGAACCAGCTGGATGCAGAGCACCCCCTCCAGTGCCTCCTTCCTCCCCTCTGCAGCTCCAGGACGTGGGGACTCTCGGGGAAAGTGACTGAGCCCAGCTCACAGGGCTGCCAGGAGACAGGACCAGGTCTCTCAGACGTCCTGGCACCCAGGCTCCCCCATAGACCCTGCCCATAGCCCCTGGGATTCTCCCCTGGCCTCCCTGGGTGGGAGCTGTGAGGTCAGGGGCCAGGAACGTTGCTGCAGCCACAGGCGGGAGTTAGTGACTGAGGAGCTTGGAATGTGCTGCCTCTGAAAGGACCTCCTTGTGGCTCCACCGACGGTTAGAGCAGGAAGGGACTTTCAGAGCCATGTAGTCACACACACACACACACACACACACACACACACACACACATGAGACCTGAGCCCTGCTCCGTCACTGGCCCAGGCTGCTTGGGGAGTGGGCAGGGTGGTGTTTCTAGAGCAGACAGATGGATGTAGGCAAGGCTGACCTGATTCAGGCCTTGCATGTGCCACTACTTGGCTCCCTGTGTCACCCTGACCTGCCCAGCTTGGACTCAGCCAAGGAGTCCAGACATGAGTTAGTGTGTGCTTGCGTGTGTATGCTGTGTGAATGCCTTGGCGTGAGATCGGAGCCCCAGGGGCTCCCAACCCTGGGGCTTTTTATCAACGCATGTATTTATTTTTGCTATTTGTCAAGGTTCTTACTATATGCTGTGCTAAGCACGTGGCATTGTGTTATTTCTATTCTCCAGCCACCCTGAGATGTAATTATGATTATGCCTCCAATTTACAGATGAGCGACAGAGGTGTTGAGAGATTGTGCCTCATCAAGGTCAGAGCTGGTGAGTAGCAGAATTCAAACTCAGAACCCGGAGTTGTCTGATTCCAGCATGTGTGCTCTTTTCCATGGGTCACACTGCCTAAAAAAAATCTCTCTACTCTCTCTCTCTCTCTCTCTCTCTCTCTCTCTCTCTCACACACACACACTCACACACACACACACACACACACACTCACACACACACACTCACACACACACACACACACACACACTTATATCATTCATTGTAAACTGCTGTTGGTATCTTCTTTTTACGGAAAGATGCGCATTGAGTAGAACAAGGGCAAGGGAGCGGCGCCCGGCTGGTAACCACCTTCTGAGTAGCGGCAATTTACAGCTTACAGAGCACTTTCGCATTTGTGATCTCATTTGATCCCACAGCAGCCTCATGAGGTCAGCAGGAGGCTCAGTTCTTCCCACAGGGACTGGGACTCAGGGGGAAGGTCATAGAGACAGAAAATGGTAGCTGTAGGACAGGAAGCCCCGGGCCAAGCTGGCCTTCTGGTTCTAAGTCCTGTGTGTACCCACAGACCCCGCCCGGCCCTCTGTCCCCAAGGAAGACCACCTAGGACCCCCCACCCCTGAAATTTTCCACCCCTGAGGACAGAGCTGGAGCTGATCACATGGAGGAGCCCCCGTGGAAAGCGGGAGCCCAGCTCTCTTTCTGTGGCTGTGACACTGGCAGCTCCTTACTCTTCTCTGGATATGTTTCATGAGTAGATGGGAGGAAGCAGAGAAACTTTGGGGTGGTCCTCGCAGCCCTGACATTCTGCATGTGTGAGAAAATGTCTGTGAGAGCTTTGAAAAATCTTGCCTGAGCTGGGCTTGGAGCTCCCACCGCTCTGATATGTCAGCCTGCTTCAGCCACTCGCTCATTGATCCTAGGTGCTTCGTTTTAACCACTCCCAGCTCAGTTTCCCTGTCTGTAAAATGGGATGATGATGGTGCCTACCTCCCAGGGTTGTTGACCTTTGGTTGTTGACATTTAACCCTGGCCTCAGTGACACAGACCGTTTTTATGTGTGGGTTTTTTTGTTGTTGTTTAATGATAGACACATACTTCTCTCTTTTTTTAAATTTTAGCTCTTTTTGTTATTTCTATCAGAGAGAGGGAGAGGGAGAGAGGGATAGAAACATTGATGAGAGAGAATCATTGATTGGCTGCCTCCTGCATGCCCACACTGGGGATCCACTGGGGATTGAGCCCACAACCCGGGCATGTGCCCTGATGGGGAATCAAACTGTGACCTCCTGGTTCATAGGTCAACGTTCAACCACTGAGCCACGCCGGCTGAGCTCTCACTTTTTTAAAATTGATTTTAGAAGAGAAGGGAAAGAGAGAGAGAGAAACATCAATTGGTTGCTTTCCGTATCTGCCCCCAATTGGGGATCAAACTCAAAACCTGGGTATGTCCCCTGACTGAGAATCGAAACTGCCACCTTTTGGTGAATGGGACAAAACGCCAATCAACCGAGCCATCCCGCCGGGCAGTCACAGAGACCTTTGACACAATCTCCAAACAAGGCTGTTGACCACGCAGCCCTGGGAAGAGCACAGACAGTATTTAAAGATGGTGTTTTCAGGCCAGGGGACCCCTGAGCCCCACAGCAGGTTCCCACTGCCTATCGGGGCTCTGAATTAAAACTTGTTATAGCTCCTGAAATTTCCTGTGAGTAGCATGATTATTTTGCATTGGATTTGTGGGTAGTTCAAAGTATTAACTTGTTCAATGTAAGCATTTAAAATAACCACCATTTTTGTAACTATGGTTCGTCATTCATTTAGTCACTTTTTATTATTCTTGAACCTTAAAACAATGAGCGGAAAGGCTCCACGCCACGACGCGAAACCTTGGTCGGTAGCAGTACGGTTGCTGGCATGAAATAAGCACCCAGTTTAATAATAATAAGTAATAATGATAATGATAATCAGCGACATTTATAATCTACTTGATAGTTTCCAACCCCTTTCACACTCTTCATTCCAGCTCCCACGCGCAGTAGGGTAGCTATGTGAGCATTTCGTCCCATTTCACACATATAGAAACCGAAGCCCGACCTGGCGGTGAGCCGGCCGGGGGCGCAGGCCGGGAATGGGGCGCGGCCTCGGCGGGCGGGCGGGGCCGCAGGTGCTTTAATCACGCGGAGGGGAATCCTCGGCTGCACCTGGGCGGGCGCCGCGAGGAAATTGCTCCATGTTTGGGCTGCTACGTCAGAGGGGGCGGGCCCGGCGCTCGGGCTGGGGGACGCCAAGTCCGCGCCTTCCCGCACGAACCCCTCGAAAAGGCGGCTTTGGGGCCGTGGCAGGCAGTCGGGGCGGACAGGCCAGAGTGGCGCGGCGGGAGAGGCGGAGCCCGAGGTGACCCGCGCAACGCCCCACCCCCTCGCTGAAGTGGTTCAGCCCGAGAACTTTTCATTCATAAAAAGAAAACTCCGCGAGGAGCGGGTGACTCAGAACCCGAGCTGCCGACGCTGACCCACCGAGCAGCCAGCCCAGGGCATGTTCCGAGACTTCGGGGAGCCCGGCCCGAGCTCCGGGCCCGGCGGTGCGTACGGCGGCCCGGCGCAGCCCCCCGCGACCGGCCAGCAGGTGAGCGGGAGCCGGGGTCGCGGGAGGACAGCGCCCGCCGGGACGGGGGCGGGAGCAGGAGCAGGGACCGCACTTGGGGCCGTGGCGGGTCCTGCCCACTCCCCGCCGTCCAGGGGCAGGTTTCCCCACAACCCAGGGGCATAACAGAATTCTGACAACCTCTCTCTCGCTCTTTCTCTCTCATCCCCTTTCCCCTCGCTGCCTGCTGTCTGTCTGTCCCTCCGTCTTTCTTTCCTCCTGTCCTTACCTTTTTTATTCCCTCCTGTCCGCCGCTCATGGCTTTGTCCCATCTGAGCTCCAAGGGGGGCGGGCACCTGCGTTGTCCCAGCCCAGACGGGTCTGATTCATCCGGGACTACGTTCCCGGGGTGGGCTTCCGAGTCCCGACTGCGACCCAGACGTCCCCACACCGGAGGGAGGAGGGGCCCATCAGCTTTTCCCTACCGACCGGGAATCCTCGGCCCCGTCTGTGAGCGTCTGCGTGTCTGTCCGTTTGTCTGTCCCGCTCTAACCCGTCTCCAAGCCCCTCTCCCTTCTGGCGCAGTGCGGCCGGCCGGGCGGGCTCCTGGAGACCGGTTGGTGACCCCTTCCTTCACAGGCTGGGGCCAGTCCAGACCGGGAGGTGCCGGGCCGTGCGCGGGGTCGTGCAGCGGGCAACTCCCGCACCCCCGACGATCGGCACCGAACGGCGCCCGCTGGCGGCTGGGGCGACCCGCGAGGCTGCAGGTGCCTATTTCCTGTCGAGGGGCTGGGAGCACGTGTCGCCAGGGGAGGGAAGGAGCGGCGTCCGTTCCGCCGAGTCACGGCGGCCGAGTCACCGTGGCTGACTCACCCGGGGCGCCCCTCCCTTCCTGGCCCAGAGCGTCCGGGGCCCCGACAACCTCGAGAGAGCGGGAGATGCCGCCAGCGCTCCCTGGATCCCGGAACTGGGGTCACTGGGCCCCCAGAGCGGGGCCAGGGACACCACTGTATGGGCTTGCCTGGGCTTGAGCCGGCTCTTCCCGGAGGACTGGGCGCCCACACCCAGAGCCCAGCCCCAGAGCTTGAACCCAGTTTTCCCGAACACTGAACCCCATCTCAACCCATTCCTCCCATTTCTGGCTGTAAGAGACCAGTGGCAGGTAATTCCTGGAGCGCATGCAGTACAGCCAGGCATCGTGCTGGGCAGTTTTCAAATCATTTACCGAATTTCACAGAATCTAAGACTCCAAATGATTTTAAAACCCAGCCACCAATTCTTTTATTTTTTAAATCTTTACTGTTGAAAGTATTACATATTCCCCCCTTCTCCCCCAACTGCCCCACTGACCTCTTTTAACCCGCCTCCACCTCCCAATTCTTATTATTTTTTAAATTCTCACCTGAGGATATTTTTTCCATTGATGTCTAAGAGAGCAGAAGGGAAAGAGGAGGGAGAGAGAGAGAAACATCAATGTGAAAGAGACACATGGATTGGTTGGCTCCCATACAGGGGTGCCCCTACGGGGGCTCGGGAACCCACAACCCAGGTACATGCCTTTGTCCAGAATCCAACGGAGACCCTTCGGTCTGCAGGCTGATGCTCTAACCATTAAGGAGACCATCCAGGGCACCACTTTTTTTAAAGTCACCAATTAAACTGAACTCAAAGCTACTAAAGGGTACTGGACAGCCTGGGCACTCTCCCTCCTGGGAGCGTGCCACACCTTTCCCTTCCCCCTCCCTCTCCCAAACCTCCCCAGGCATTACCATCAGCTTCCTCACTCCCAAGCTCCAAGGCCCTTTACCTAAAAATTATAATAATAATAATAAATAACTGCACAGCCTGGACCGAGCGCAGTGGCTCTTGACTTCCACAGCCTTCCCCGGGCTCTGTCACACACATTCTCTCACCTGATTCCCACAGCTACCCTCAGAGTTAGGAGCTATAATTATCCTCTTTGAAGAGTCTAGCTGCTAGGGCCCAAATCCTGCCTCCCACTTACTGGCTGTGTGTCTGAGGACAACTGTTTTCCTGTCTGAAAAAGAAGATACTGTTGTGCAAATTATATGAGTCAGTATTTATAAAGTGGTTGGGACAGGGCCTGGAATTCACACTTTATAAGTATTAGCTCTGATGGGGAAGTGGAAGTTCAGAGAGGTTATGTGACTTGCCAAAAGTCACACAGCTCAGGAGCAGTCCCTTTAACTGGGGTGGGTAGCAGTGTGGCTTTTATCCGCGGGAAGCCCCCAATTCACACAGACCTTACCCCTGGCCTTCCATTTCTTGTCCCTCAGAAGTTCCACCTGGTGCCAAGCATCAATGCTGTGAGTGGCAGCCAGGAGCTGCAGTGGATGGTTCAGCCTCACTTCCTGGGACCCAGCAGCTACCCCAGACCTCTGGCCTATCCTCAGTACAGCTACCCACAGCCCCGGCCAGGAGTCATCCGGGCCCTGGGGCCACCTCCAGGGGTGCGTCGCCGGCCCTCTGAACAGGTAAGCAGAGGCTTTGCACTGGTCTGATTCCCACAGGAGGATAGCTCTTGCCCAAAAGGAGAACACAGGCTTAGAAGCGGGGAGAAGGTAGCACCACTAGCGACTATTCGCCAAGGTGGACTTATAGGCAATAGTAACTATTGAGAGGAGACTCTAGGAAGACCCAGGAGGCAAAGAGGTCACCTTTGGATCAGGGAATGCTTCCTGGAGGTGGAGGCCTGTTAGTCTAGAAAACTGGGTAGGATTTGCTTAGATATAGTTGAAGGAAAGGACATTCCAGGTAGAGGGGATGGCAGGAGCAAGAATGGAGGTGGAGGGAGAACTTGTAAGGTGCATGTGGAAAGGTACGTGGACAGTAAAGGGGAGCCACCTGCTGACATGTGCGGAGAGGGTGGGCTGATGCTGTCTATGCCTAACAGCTGGGAGAGAACAGGAGACAGCTCCCTGTAGCTACTCCCTGAATCTCAGTTTCCCTGTCCCATTTAAAACCCTCTGGCGAATGCACTCTGGTTCTCCCCCGTATGAGAGCCCAGGAAATGGAGGCACAGAAAGATAAAGTCACTTGCCCAAGATCACACAGGTAGTGAGTAATGAGACAGGTCTGTCCAATTCTAAAGTGAGATCCTAACCACCACGCCACACGGTCTCACCCAGATCTAAGAGAAGGTTTGAAGAAGAGTGAGCTGGGAATTTTTGCTTCCCCAGTTTTTCCTACCCACACACTAATAAAGCCCTTACCAAAATAGAGAGAGAGAAAATAATAAAGAGATAGTCTTTAAGGGAGTGGTGCCCCTTTCCTTTCCCTGGAGCGTTTTAGTATAAGAGACTGTAGCGGGTGAGGTTTGCACATGAAACAGACTGCTCTGCCAGGCAGGGTAGAGAATGGGGAGGGAGCTTGGGATCCTAGGAAAGATGTGCTATTGGGAGGCTTTCCCAGAAACAGAATGGCTGGGCCCCCAGAGGCAGGCTTCTGGACTTTCTTCCTTCAGCCCTGTCCTGAGCGTGATTTGATCCTGGGTACTCTTAGACTGGGGCTGTGAGCTATAAGTGGGTTCCTTTTGCGGGGAGATGCTTTTCATCAGCTGGCCTCTCATTCAACGTAGAATAGAGTGGATTTTAATTTCTGCTCTAGGGGCATAAACAAGTTATTCATCTTCCCTGGGCTTCAGTTCCTTACATGGAAAGTTGTGTTAAGAATCTAAGAAAAGCACTTTGCTGGCACACAGTAGATTCCCAATAAATAATTGCTTAGCAAGCCCTAACTGGTGTCACTCTGGATAGAGCGTCGGCCTGCGGACTGAAGGGTCCTGGGTTTGATTCTGGTCAAGGCCACATGCTCGATTTCGGGCTCGATCCTCAGTGGGGGGAGGCAGCCAATCAGTGATTCTCAATCATCATTGATGTTTCTCTCTCTCTCCCTCCCCCTTCCTCTCTGAAATCAATAAAAATATATTTTAAAAAATTAACTGCTTAGCAGCATTCATTGGCCCCTCCTAGTGCTTACAGCCTATGGAGAAAAGGAGACTTGGCTATCAAGAGACTGTAAAGAATAGGGGTTCTTCGAAAAAGAGTGGCGGGTTCCCACCAGCTCTAAGGAGGAAAGGCCACTTCTGGCTGGGAAATGAGAGGCAGCTTCTTGGAGGCAGATGCATCTTTTATTTTGTTGTTGTTAATCCTCAACCGAGGATATTTTCCCATTGATTTTTAGAGAGAGTGGACGGGAGGTGGAGAGACAGAGAGAGAAAGAAACATCTCTGTGAGAGACATATCCATTGGTTGCCTCCTGCACATTCCCCCGCCAGGGCCGGGGATGGAGCCTGCAACCCAGGTACATGCCCGGGGCCCTTCAATCCGCTGGCGAAGCTCTATCCACAGAGCCGAACCGGCTAGGGGGCAAGGCAGAGGCATCTTAGTTGAATCCTGGGACTTGAAGAGGATTAAGATTTGTAGAAGGGCAGAGGAGGGCATTCTGAGAAGGTAATCGTAGGAGGCAAAAGCTGGGTGCAGGGGGGAAAATTTAACTATTGCAAGTTTACTAAAGCGTGAGTTCCAGGAACCGGGCTGGGCTTGGTGGTCCTTAAAGTGCAGGAGAAGGGCGCCCCCGCGCTGCCATGCCCTCCACCAGGATCCTACCACTGGGCCACCCAGTGACTCACTAGGCGATTGCCAGGCAGCCAGTGGCCCAGGATCCACCTCACTGCTTCCTCTATTCCCCAGATCAGCCCAGAGGAGGAGGAGCGCCGTCGGGTGAGGCGCGAGCGGAACAAGCTGGCCGCGGCAAAGTGCAGGAACCGGAGGAAGGAACTGACCGATTTCCTGCAGGCGGTGAGCATCGGCCGGTGCGGAGGGCGCCCAGGCCCCGGCCCACCAAACCTTCGGAGGGCCTCGCCTCCTGTGAGCCTGTAGGGCCCAGGGGGCGCTGGAGAGACAGGCCTTCGGAGAAAAGGACCAGGAAAAAGTACTGAGCACTGCACAGCCGAGCTGAAGCTCAGGCAGACAGTCTCCTAAGATGCCCCGGGGACCTGATTGGAGTCCGGCACATTTTTCTCCCAAGGGCTCATGGGAATTGTAGTCCAGACTTGCTGAGGACTCCTCACCCTACCTCCAATTTCCTAAATCACCACCACCACCACGGAAGGCGAAGCGGTATTCGGCCCTCATCTTCCTGACTCCTCTCCTGACCTTCTCCCTACAGGAGACCGACAAGCTGGAGGACGAGAAATCAGGACTGCAGCGAGAGATTGAGGAGCTGCAGAAGCAGAAGGAGCGGCTGGAGCTGGTGCTCGAAGCCCACCGCCCCATCTGCAAAATCCCGGAAGGAGCCAAGGAGAGCGCCACTGGTGGCCCAGGCGGTGCCAGCAGCCCAGCAGCCCCCTCCCGCCCTGTGCCTTGTATCTCCCTCTCCCCAGGGCCTGTGCTTGAACCCGAAGCATTGCACACCCCCACGCTCATGACCACACCCTCTCTGACTCCTTTCACACCCAGTCTGGTTTTCACCTACCCCAGTACGCCTGAGCCCTGTGCCTCAGCCCATCGCAGGAGCAGCAGCAGCAGTGGGGACCCATCCTCTGATCCCCTAGGCTCCCCCACCCTCTTGGCCTTGTGAGGCACTCTGGTTATCCTCCCTGGCCAATATCTCCCCATCCATTGGTCCAGCCGGCCTGGGCTAGATACCATGCTCAACCCCAGCAGGTTCTCCATCCCTCCAGATGAGACTGAGCCTATTTGGCTTCCTGGCAGAGCCAGCTTGGGGCCACCAAAGCTGCTCAGTTTCTCCAGAGCTCGCCTCTCTAGCACCATTTGCATTAAATCAGAGACAAACTAGTTCCCATTTGTGCAAGAGAACTCCTGGCAGCCCCAAAGGACTTTATAGACCTCTAGAGGTTTTCTGGAGCCCTAACCCCCTCCAGGCCTTCCCTAAGTCTTCATTACCCTCTTCCTGTGATCCACCCAACCATACCCCCGGACAGAAGGTGATATGATACCAGCCTAGAACACTAACTCACCCAGCCCCACTGCCAGCAGCACCCGGTGATTGAACCAGGGCATTCTGCCATCCCCTCCAGAAATGGCACAGTTCAAGAGTGCTAGAGACTTCTGTGATGAGCTGAGCTGCAGCCCCTGGCTCTGAGAAGACTTTAGCTCCAGGGAATCTAAGCCTCCACTGCAAGGGCAGCTGCTATTTATTTTCCTAAAGAGAGTATTTTTATACAAACCTGCCAAAATGGAATAAAAGGCTTGAAGCTCTGGCCTGGTTTCATTGGATTCAGAGGCTAAAGGGAAACCATTTGGATCCTCAAAACATTTGGCTCAGGTCTCAGCTCCACAGACTCACTGCATGACCTTGGACAAATTATTTGAGATTTCTGGACCTCCATTGTGTCTTATCTGACAAATGAAGCTACATCTGCTCTGCCTCATCTCCAGGATTGAGAAAAAGAGTGCTGTGGGATGCAAGCCAAGAGGATTACCATCCTCCTCGGGGTGGAGGCCCACCTTGCTCCTGGGTACCACAGGAGGGCGCTGTTATGCCCTTCCAGCCAGAGAGGAGGCGGCTGAGTGGGTTCTAGGCCCCCAACACCTGCTTCCTGCCCCATTGTCTTGGGCAGGAAGGAGCCGGGAAGGGAGCTGGAGCCACTTCAGCGGCCGGATCACGGCTGGTCCCGGAGCTTGCCGGCGGACGCGTAGGGGGTGGGGAGTGGTAGCCAGCGGCTTTTCACGGTCTCACACCGCTCCTGACTTGAGGTAATGAGGGGATATCAGACACCTTAGTTCTGCAGCCCCTCCGGATAGGAACCATACCCCGTCTCAGCGTCCCCGCCCTTGTCCTAACCCCGGCGAGTCCCAAACAGACGCTGCCATGGACTCTGCTTCCGTCCCAGTTTATTAGCCCCCACCCAGCCCCCTGCAAGTCCCTCCGCTCCAGCCGCCAGTCCCCCCCGTTGCCCAGCCAGCGAGAGCGAAGGGCGCTCCTCAGTGCCAGGATGTCTAAGTCCATGCCAGCGGCCCTTCGCGTGCAGCCGGGCGGCTTCCATGTTCCGAGGTCCATCGCAATCCAGGCGCTTGGGGAGCCATCCGGGCGGGCGTCGGCGCGAAGGAAGCGATGCCCTCAGTCATCTGGGGAGCAAGCCAGGGGCAACTGATCAGGGCTGCCCACGCTGCCGGTGCTGGAGCTTCCATCGCCCAGGTCCCGGGGTCCGCAAGGGGGCAAGGCGAGCTCCGGTGTCGGACCAGCGCCTGAGCCCCCCGCGCCACCAGGGCCGCCGCGGGGGCCCCACTCCTCGCCCAGCGCCAGGCAGAGCTCCTTAAGCGCTAGATTCTCCCGCAGTAGCTCTTCCTGGCGGCCCTCAAGCTCGGCCAGCTTCTGCCAACAACCGCCCAGGTCCTCGCGCACCGCCCGGGATGCTTGGGTCCCGAAGAGCTGCCACTGGCGCGCGGCGCGCCGCCCGCGCTGGCGCTCCGAGTCCAGAAAGCAGCAGAGGTCGCGCAGCTCGCGGTTCTCGGCCTGTAGGCGCCGGTTGAGCTGCTTGAGCTCGCGGATCTCGCCTAGGTGACCCTGCAGCTGTCGGTTCACCTCCTGCATGAGGCGGCCGCGCTGCACCAGAGCCGCCAAGCGCGCCGCCTCCTCCCGCCGCAGGCGCCGCACCAGCTCCTCCTTGCCCAGAGCCGCCATCTCCTCGTCGGTCAGCTCCTCCAGGCCGCCTGCCTCGGCCTCCATGGCTGCTCAGGTCTCTGGAGCATCGCCTGCCCGCCGCCGCGGTCCAGGTGCCCCACGTCGAGCCCCGCGCGACTGGGGCTCAGGACCCGGCGTCGCCGGCAGCGGGCTGTGGCAGGCTAGCGTAGGCTGCAGCCGCCGCACGGGGGTGGGCACGCGGCAGGGCGCGCGCCGGGGCGGATCGCCTGACGTTAAGGAAGGACAGCCAATCCGGAGTCGCCTCCCTGGAGGGGGGCGGGGCCTGAGCTCCGAGAGCCCCCTTCCCGGCCCGCCCACTCCCGACCGAGGCGTCCCTGACCGTCGGGGACACTGGGTCCCTGCACCCGCTCCTGTCAACCCGAAACTAGGCGCTTCGTGCGTCCCAGTTCCAAACTGCCTCAGGTGCGAGCCTAGGCCTCTGGGCTCCTTCTGAGAACCAAGGCTGCCCTGGAATTGCCCCCCCACCCGCATCCGACAGAGCCGGGACGATCTTTCCATCCTTCCCAGGGGTGGGGTGCCGGGGGAGAGGGGGTGGGGGACACATACAAGGGATTCTTTTGTTCAGGAAGCCTTAATTGTGTGTAAAACCCATGCAGAATAAACTTGATCAAGAGTCTTTAAAGAAGCCTTAATCTGGCAGGGGAGACAAGTTGTTTAAACAAGAAGCAAATGGAGGAGGGATACAGTCTGAGGGACGCCCCCCACCCGGGAAAAGGTTTCCCGAAAGAGACCATATCTGAAGGTCCCGGAAAAATGCATAGGGCTTTGTCAAGTAATGAGAGAGGAAATAACATGGTGAACGATGCTGGGGCCTGCAAGGACCTAGCTGCTTTAGGAACAGTGAGAGTAGCTTGATTTCTTTTTGAAAGGCAGGTGCGTGGAGAAAGGGCTAAGAGAGGGAGACAGGGAGGAAACAAAGGTGGTCGGAAGCCAGATCCTAAGGACTTTCACTACTAGGCTGGCACATTTTCACAGGCCAGTAAGGATTTTAATGAGGGGAGTAACATTTTAAAATATCTATTTTAAAAACGATTGTTCAAGCCCTAACTGGTTTGGCTCAATGGATAGAGCGTCGGCCTGCGGACTGAAGGGTCCCAGGTTCGATTCTGGTCAAGGGCATATACCTTGGTTGGGGGCACATCCTCAGTAGGGGTTGTGCAGGAGGCAGCTGAATTGATGTATCTCTCTCATCGATGTTGCTAACTCTCTATCCCTCTCCCTTTCTCTCTGTAAAAAAATCAATAAAATATATTTAAAAAAAGCAAACAAAAACGATTGTTCAGGCTGCTCTGTGTGAGATGGACGATGGGGAGGGGATGTAGGCGGGGAGATTAGTAAGAACACTGTGTCAATGGGCAAGGAGAATTTTGCGGAAGGACTGGGCTGGGGCCGTGCCAGTGAGGGCGGAGAGAACAAAAGAGATAATAGAAATATTTAGGAGGCAAATCAGCAAACTGAATGTGGAGAGGAGTCTGAGAGAAAGCCCAGGTTTCTGATATGGTGGATGTTGGAGCTGTCACAAATAGGAACATAGGAGATAAACACAGGGGAGACTGACAGGCCTATCTAGCTGGGGCGGGGGGGGGGGGGGGCCTGTGGGGAGAGAGTTTGGAAAGACTCATAGATAGGCTGCCCTCCTGATGTGGACTTCCAGGCAGAGCTCTGAGCTGCAGAGTAAAAGGTCATTAGTTAGTGGCCAGGCAGGGGGATGGGAGGGGTGTAGCCCTGGCCGGTGGCTCAGTTGGTTAGAGCATTGTCCTAAAACACCCAGGCCGCCGTTGGATCTCTGGTCAGAGCACATACAAGACGCAACCAATGAGTGCATGAATAAGTGGAACAACGCATCGACGTTTCTTTCTCTAAAATCAATAAATTCAACAAACAGGCACAAACATGGGAGCAAGTGTAGCATCCCAGGAGAGAAGCTTAGCGGCAGGAAGAACGGAAGGGCTCCCAGCAAAAGGCTTTGGAAGTCGGCTACACACCTTCATCTGCAGAAAAAAAATTTAGGACTGAGCCCTGGGAAACTCCCACCTTTAGGATACAAGCCAGTAAGGATTTGAAAAGAGCTGAGAAAGCGGGTGATGGGGCAGAGGCAGTGACGGGGAAGGGTTCCAGGGTCGGGGAGACGGGCGGGGCGGGGTAGGGGTAGCGGTGGGGACCGGGGAGCCCGGGACTCCCCGTCCCGCGAAGTGGTGGGGCCGCTCCACCACTTCCGCCTCTTCCCTCGCCGCTCCTGCCCCGCCCTCTCTGTCCCGGAAGTGGTCCGTCTGTGGCTCCGGGTGCGGGGAGCGAATTTCGGCGCTCCCGGAAGTGGCTCGCCGGCGGCGCGCCCGCCGGGGCAATACTCGCTCCTGCTGGGGCGCGGCGACTGCTCCCGGGTCCGGGCGTCGCCATGACCAACGAGCTGGATATCTTCGTAGGGAACACGACCCTCATCGACGAGGACGTGTATCGCCTCTGGCTGGATGGTTACTCGGGTCTGTGAGGGGCCGAGCGGTTGTTTGGCTGGGCGAAGGGGCGGAGCCTGCACTTGGCCGTCTGTAAGCGGGCGGAGGAGGGAGGGAGGTTTGCAGGTCGGAGCTGGAATCCCTGCAGGGGCTTTGCGGGCGGGGCGGGGCCTGATGCCGGTGCCTGCTCCCCAGTGAACGATGCGGTGGCCCTGAGGGTGCGCTCGGGAATCCTGGAGCAGACGGGCGCCACGGCAGCAGTCCTGCAGAGTGACACCATGGATCACTATCGGACCTTCCACATGCTGGAGCGCCTGCTGCACGCACCGCCCAAGCTGCTGCACCAGCTCATCTTCCAGATCCCGCCCTCCCGACAAGCGCTGCTCATTGAGAGGTGGGGATGCCAGCCACTCTGGCCATGTACCCATTTTGCAGACTGTAACCGAGGCCCAGGAAGGGACGGGACTCACCCGGGCCCTGAAGAAGTGGAGAGCACAAGGGGCCAAGCCCAGGCTCTGCCAGCCCCCTTTTCCTCTCCCTTAGGGGAAGTCAGTAGTGTCCTCTGCCTCCATGCAGGTACTATGCCTTTGATGAGGCCTTTGTGCGTGAGGTCCTGGGCAAGAAGCTGTCCAAGGGCACCAAGAAAGACCTGGATGACATCAGCACCAAAACCGGCATTACCCTTAAAAGCTGTCGAAGACAGGTGGGCACTGCAGCCTCCTCCTCACCAACACAACATTCCATCCACAGTCCACCCCTGTGGCCACTATCCCAACTCCAACCTCCTCCTCCACTTCTGATTGTGGCAGCAGCTTCAGACCCAGTCTCCTCTCCCCTGTTTTTGTCATCTCAAAGCAATCCCTGCTCTTCAGCCAGAGTGACCTTTCAGAATCCCAGATCTGACCATAGCTTTCTTCTGCCCATAAACTTTCATTGGCTCCTACTCCCTTCTGGGTAGTAGCCACACTCTTTGGCCTTGCCCTTCATACTCTCCCGTGAGCTGGTCCCTGCCAGCCTCCCTAGGCTTGCATTTCCCCAGAGTCCAGCTTTCTTTGGCTTGTGCTGCTCCTGCCTGGAGGCTACAGTTCTTGGCCATGTCTACTTGAAATCCAAGGCAGCGTCAGATGCCACCTTCTTCACAAGCTTCCTGGTGGTGCCAAGGAGAAGTAACTCTTCTTCTGGAACTTTAGTATCTTTTCTCTGCGTCTCCTGTGAACTCCCTGTATACAGCTTAGCATTTGCTCATTTTTTACTTTCTGAGCCTTAGGAGGGTCAGCTCCAGCGCCAGCTGGAGAAGAGCTGTAGAGCGTGGTTCTAAAAAGCGGAGTGAATTCAGTGGTAGGAGCTGAGTAAACGTTGATCTGAGATGGCAAAAGCTAATAGACATTTGTTGAATTGATAACTTACTGAAGGAATAACAGATCAGCATCTGTTGACAGAATAGATAGATAGGTGAGGGATGGTGTTCAGTAAACAATTTATTGGGTGAGCGACCTCTGACCAGTCCTTGCTCCCCTACCTTCCCTGCAGTTCGACAACTTTAAACGAGTCTTCAAGGTGGTGGAGGAAATGCGGGGCTCCCTGGTCGATAACATCCAGCAGCACTTCCTTCTCTCCGATCGGCTGGCCAGGTGAGCGACCGGGCGAGGAGCCGTCTGTCTCCTGCATCGGCACAGTCCTTCCCTGGGCCCTGAGTCTGGTCCCCTTCCCCCTCCCCCCAACCCTTGGCTGTGTGGGAGGATGGTTATCTCATTCCTGGTCTATAAATTGGGTCAGACTGGCCTGGGTTCAAATCCCAACCCGGCCATTCACCAATTGGACTGTTGAGGTGTTGCCTGGAAAGCGGATGGCACAGCTCCGGAGGTCGGCAAGTGCTCAGTAAATGGTAACTGTTACCCCTGTGGTCTCCTGCTACATCCCTTAGGAGACCTGGTTTGAAACCTTTTCACAGATGAGGAGGCCCAGAGAGAGGTGACTTGAAACATGTCACACAGTGAGTTAGGGCGAGAGAGGCCAGAGCTCAGATGCCTAGTAGATGTTGCAGGTGGGAACTGCTTGCTCAGAAGGAATGCCCAGCTCTGACAGGTCTCCTTTCCCCTCCCTGAAGAGACTATGCAGCCATCGTCTTTTTTGCCAACAACCGCTTTGAGACAGGGAAGAAAAAACTGCAGTATCTGAGCTTTGGCGACTTTGCTTTCTGTGCTGAGCTCATGATCCAGAACTGGACCCTTGGAGCCGTCGGTGAGGCCCCCACTGACCCAGGTGCCTGGACACCTCCCCACCCTCTCAGGGCCTGCTACCCCACCAGCCACCTCTGCTCACAGTCCCGTGTCCCCATACACACCTTGTCTGCAGACAAAGGGCCCACTACTTCTCTGTGGTCCGGGGCAAAGCATTCCACCTCCCTGACACTCTGCTTTCTCTTCTGTCTTATGGGGGTGCAATGTGGTGGGTGAGGAAGGCTTGGGTTATCACAGGAAGGCATTTTGTCGTCCCCCCGCCCCCCAACTCCCTTCCTGGGCCTTACTCAGACTCCCAGGTGGATGACATGGATGTGGACTTAGACAAAGAGTTTCTCCAGGACTTGAAGGAGCTCAAAGTGCTGGTGGCTGACAAGGACCTTCTGGATCTGCATAAGAGGTGACTCGGGGGGGTTGTCTGTGGGATGGGGCCTGAAGTGGGGGACCCAGGCAGCTCTAGGCTTGACCTCGTCTTCCTGCAGCCTGGTGTGCACTGCCCTCCGGGGAAAGCTTGGTGTCTTCTCTGAGATGGAAGCCAACTTCAAGGTCTGTGGCCCAAGCCAGCCTATGTCCCTTGGGTATCTCCAGCCTCCCGTGCACTGTCCCACCGGGTGACTCTGTTCATGCCCTAGGTTGACCAGCAGGTGGCGCTGTGGCTCCCTCTGCCCACCTGTGCTGGGGGAGCCAGCTCCTAAACATTGGGGAGTTGATTGAGGGAGGTGGATAGATTTGGAGAGGGGCCTGCCCCTCCCCTAGCCTCTGGGGCAGAAGACAGAACTCCCAGGCCCCCTGCCCCACAGAACCTATCCCGGGGGCTGGTGAATGTGGCTGCCAAGCTGACCCACAATAAGGACGTCCGAGATCTGTTTGTGGACCTGGTGGAGAAGGTGAGCTGTCCTGCCCACTGTCCACTCGTCCCCGCCCTGGCCTGTCTCTGAGCTGTACCAATGCCAGATGTTCCCTTGGGCCCACAGTTCGTGGAGCCCTGCCGCTCTGACCACTGGCCGTTGAACGATGTGCGACTGTTCTTGAACCAGTATTCAGCGTCGGTCCACTCACTGGATGGCTTCCGGTGAGTTACTCCGGCCTCCTGTTCAGCGGGGCCTCGCCCCAGCCAGCCTCCTGCCAGGGCCTGGCCCCCCTGCAGACTCAGGGTTCCCTGTTCTGCTGCCCTGGGGAGACTGTCTCTGTGGACCAGAGTCCTGGCTTCACCTCTAAGAAGCTGTGACTTAACCTTGGGCAGGTTCCTTGATGCCTCAGTTTCCTCACATGTAAGCTGGGGGTGATGATGGTGAAGGTCATAGAATATTGTGAGGATTCAAGAGTGACGGTGCATAGAGCACTTAGAGCAGGGCCGTGACACGGTGGGTTGTGGTAAACCTCGGCCATTACTGTTACCATTATCATTGCAGGCACCAGGCCCTCTGGGACCGCTACATGGGCACCCTCCGTGGCTGCCTCCTGCGCCTCTATCATGACTAAGGCCCCTCCCACCACTCTACTCACACTGACAATAAAGTTGCCATGACTTTGGAGGAGCCTATGCCTGGGTAAACACAGGGTCCGTGTGTGGAGGGTGTATACGCGTATGTATCTAAGTGTCACGGTGTATGAGGACCTGTGTGTACACTGGCCCTGCAGGGACTAGGATGTGTTCAGGAATGGTGTCTATGCTCTCCCTCTCCATTTCCCCACCCAGCGGAGTCCACTGAGAATACAGAATCTTGTCTTTGTTTATTCAACGCATAGCAAGAGGATTGGGAGGACAGGAGAAGACTTTGGGGGTGGCCAGCAAGGATGCAGCAGGCATAGCAGGCGAGAGCGAGGGGCGGGCTCAGGGAGGGCAGGAGACCTTCTTAGCTGGTTGACCCACTCGGGCAGTAATCGGGTACTTGGTGATACCACAGGCATTGCTCCCGCGGTGCAGCCGGAAATAACCCTAGGAAGTCAGAGGACATCAGGGCAGGGCCAGAAGGCGGGGAGAGCCCTGCCCTGTCCTGCCCCAATATCACACTCACCTTCTCACCCCAGTTGGCCCCCCAGGAGTTCTTCAGGATCCAGTATGGGGTGGAGCGACGATGAGAATGGCCTGAGACGTCCTTTGCCTGCCTCCCCTCCACCGACTTGGTCTTACCAAAACCCACCAGCAGGACAACATGGTCCACATTTTGAGGGTCACAGGTGGTGCGTGTGGCCTTGATCACACCATTCTTGTATTGCTGCAGGGGCAGGGGCAGAGGGGCTGAGTCTGGGGCCACATCCCCTATATGTTCTTCCCCCCATTCTCTTCCCTGTCGCACCTGCAATAGCTTCTTGTTGATGGTCACAGTGATGGGGCCCTCAGTGGCCAGGTACTGGGCAATTCCTGGGGGTAGAGGTGCCATCAGGCCATGCCTGCTCTGTTTCCCCTGCTCTCAGCTCATGGTTGTCTCCATCTCTCTCCCTCCCACCCCCATTCCTCCATCTCTGTCTATAGCCCCATCTGTCTGCCTGTGCTGGTTTGTCTATCCCTGTCATCTCTCCTCCCCCCCACATCCGCCTGGGTCTCCACCCTGCCCGCACTCTGCTCGTTGTCCGACAGCATGATGAAATCCTGGATCCAGGCCACCTTTTTGTGCTTCTTAGCCTGGCACTTGGCTCTGACCGCCCCCTGGAATGGGTAGTCCTTTTCGCTGGCCAGGCCACCTGGAAGTAAGCAAGGCCAGGAGACTCAGCCCCAGAACATGCCCGCCCTCAGCCCCCCAGAGAGGCCGGCACTCACTGTTGTTGAGGACAGTTATGAATGCGTCCCAGATGAAGCCGCCACTGCAGCCATCCCCACAGCGGCCACAGTCGAGTAGTTCTGGTGCAAGAAGGGACAATTTGGGTGACTGATCCCCAAGCCCCCTGCCCCCATTGGCAGACATGCCCCCTCTCCCAGCCGTACCCTGCACAGAGACTTCCACAGACTGTCTGGTCTTAATGCCCCACTGGGCTTCGATGTTGCCTGCAGCCGCCATGGCCCAGCAGCACGAGCAGGTTTTCTAGTGGGGAAAGGAGTGGGGGCTGGTAAGGGATCTGGGCTTTGACCCCTCTCCTCTCCTCTCCCTCCCACCACTGGGGCTGGACCGCGCCAGGCTGGGTGAGCAGATACCTGGTCCTTGACAGGTGACATGACACCGGGCGCCTTCCGCCAGTCACACGTGGAGGGCACTGACTCTTCCCACTCATCAGATCCTACCTTTCTGTCCACATTGGGGGCCCTTCCAGCTGCCCTCTGATTCCCATACAGCTGGTCAAACTCCTCCTCTGGGGGACAGATGGGACCACCAAGATCACAATATTGACCCCTCCCCATATTCTGCTTCTCCCGCTCCAGCCATCCACATCCTTGGCCATTTGAGTCCCCGTAATACCCTGAGAGACACAAAGGCAAGGATGCGGAGGCACAGAGACCCAGTTCCTTGCTGCAGTGCATTCCCCTGCACCTGCTCTCAGCCTTGAGCTGAGCTGGGACACAGGCCTCCGGAGTACCTGTCCCTGCCCTCAGTGATTTGGGACAAGCACCCAGGCCCCTGGTCCTCGGGGTCCCTCTCTGGGAAATGAATGCCAAAGGTCCACCCTGTCCATCTGCCAGTACCCCTGGACAAGCTCTGCTTCCCCACCCAGTACCTGTAAGGTCACTGAATGCAGTCACCCCAAACTCGGCTGTGCCTAAGTCCTCCTCCTGCAGCTGCTGAGCCTGGGCCAGGTTTCGGGCAAAGATATCCAAGCGGCGAGCATACTCTGGACCAAAAGACAGGTCTTCCTAGGTTGGCTCCCAAGCCCGTGGGGGCAGGAAATGCCAGGTGTCCTCTCACCCAGATGAGCACTGGCTTCTTTCCTGTGGCCCCTGCCAGCCCCACTGCAGATCATCTGGGCAGAGAAAGTGGCCCCCAGCCCACTAGGGTGGGTTTTCCCAGGAGACGGGAAGGGGACACACTGCCCACCTGGGGGGAGCCAAGTAGAGGGTCTGAAGGCAGAGTGATTCAGAGAAAGGTGGGTGGTTGAGGATGGGCTTCCTGCCACCAGATCACCACCCTCACACTTCTGACCACAGGTGTGGGGCTGGAACATGGCAGGGGTGGGGGAGGATGGGGTACAGGCCCATGACAGGCTGAAAGGCACCCACAGGCTATCCCCCTCAGGGAGATGAGATCCAGAGAGGGGGCGGGAACAGAGCCAGGTGGAGAGGGAGTCCCAACTTGAGGACAAAAGGGGTGTCTAGGTGTTTGCTGAAGGAACCCGTGACTAGATGGTGGTTTCCTGCTCGCTGCCAGGAGGTGCGGGAAAGTGGCTGTGGAGCTGAAGGGCCCTCTGGGCAGACCCCCAACAGCCACCACCTCCCTCCAGGTTCATAGCAAAGAGTGACCGTGTTCAATGCACAGGAATGATGTGCGTTCAAGCAGTGGGGTTCACCTCAAGCCCAGTGTCCACCCTGAGCCTGATTTCATCATTGAGTAAATGGGAGAAGTGGGGCTGGACCAGAGACGAAGGGGTCCCATGATACCTGCCGGGTTCGAGTAACTTCGGTTATACTGGATCTGGAACAGAGTGAAGACCTCTTTCAGCTCCAGCGGCCCCGCACCTGGGTTCTGGAAGGAACCAAGGGTGGTGGGGGAGGGGGTTGGGTGAGGAGTCCTTGATGGGACTGAGCTAGGGCAGTGGTCGGCAAACTCATTAGTCAACAGAGCCAAATATCAACAGTACAAGGATTGAAATTTCTTTTGAGAGCCAAATTTTTTAAACTTAAACTATATAGGTAGGTACATTGTTATTAACTTAATTAGGGTACTCCTAAGGCTTAGGAAGAGCCACACTCAAGGGGCCAAAGAGCCGCATGTGGTTTGCGAGCCGCAGTTTGCCGACCACGGACTAGGAGGTCAGTCAGTTAGTCTGTTCTATCTCCCTGGGTGAGCTTTGGCATATCAATCACCTCTCCAGCCTCAGTTGCTCCCTCTGAGAAATGGGAACAAGTCAGTTTCTGAAGGGGTGAGCCCCATACATGGGGCTTGCAGAAGGAAGGGTTTGGGGAGCAGGTTGCGGGCACTTACCTGGACTCTGAGGGAGTCCTTGATGCCTTGGGCTAGACCTGCCACCAACAGGACCTGGAAGCAGGAGAGATGGACAGTTAGTGCCATGCTGCTGCAGACCAGAGTGCTGGGGACAGGAAACAGACCAAGCTGGAGGTGCTCAGAGGGCGGAGCTGGAGAAACCACTGAGGGGAAACCGGGCTGGGAGGGGGAGGTGGACCCCGCAAGCAAGAGGCTTTCAGGCTTTTATCTCTACAAGGCCCTCTACCTGTCTACTCACACCCCCTTTTCTTCTCTTTTTTAATTTTTTAAAATATATTTTTATTGGTTTTAGAGAGGAAGGGACAGAGAAAGAGAGAAACATCAACAGTGAGAGAGAATCATTGGCTGCTTCCGCACACTCCCTATTGGGGATTGAGCCTGCAACCCAGGCATGTGCCCTTGATCAGAATCGAACCCAGGACCCTTCAGTCCGAAGGGCAATGCTCTATCCACTGAGCCAAACCAGCTAGGGCACACTTTTTCCTTATTCCACAGCTGCTCTCAGCCCACCCTGTTTGGGGCAGTTCTTAGATGGATCTGTCCCTAAGGAGACAGGTCGTGAGAGGGCAGTGACATAAGGCCATCAGCACTGTGAAGGGTAAGCCCAGGGGACTATGGGAGCCACAGCCCCCTGACAACTGGGTGTGGAAAGAGGGTGGTCAGTGGCTCCTGGGAAAACTTGCTCATCCTACAAAGTTTCCTCAGTTCAAGTGTCACCTCCAAGAAGCCTTCCCTGCTCTCATCCTCTGATGTAACCTACAGCCCCTTGAGCCCCTGCCGTGCCTGAGCCCACTTGTGTCTTCCTTCCAACTGCACCAGAGGTGTCAGGCGCCTGCGTCCACAGTGCCCAGGATGTGGCTCGGCTCGGAGCAGGCTGGGTGGGTGTTGTTGACTGAACCATTTGTTGTCATGTTGTTGTTTCCCATGGGTTTTAAACAGGAAAGTGCAGGTGGCAGGAGCGTGTCCAGGGGACAGCAAATAGCAGCTCCTGCCTCCTTTTGTTCTTCATTCCTGTCACAACCTGAGGGGATGTGGGAGCAGAAAGACAGCAGGGTTGACATCTCAGAGCGAGGCCGAGGCCTGTGAAGTCAAGTGCCGGGGAGGGCTGTTGACAGCGGTTTGAAGAGGTCCCCAGGCTGGGGCTCTCCCCCATGCGCCTCCAGGCGGGAAACCAGTGCCCAAGACCAGAGATGGGGGGAGAACTGGTTTTCTGGGGATTGATACCCCAGAAAGGGAGTATCTGAGAGGGAGCAGGAGGAGGGCTCTGGTCCTGGGGTTCATTTATATGTGTGCCTCACTACCTCATTTTTTCATTCATTAGGAACCTGCCCCATGTTGCTGCACCACCCTCACTCCCACTCCAGACAATAACTCAAGGGACTACTCTATTGGGGAAAAAAGAGCCATGCTGTCTTTATTAAAATTCAGTAGACAGACCATCCATAGAGGGGCACCTGGCTACGTGGTTGTAGACCCCTTCACATACCCCAAGCTAGTCTTGGATTGTGTGTGACCTATGACTAAGGCCCCATGTGTCAGCCTCAGGGCTAGAGGTCCCAGTGTGGGCATAAAAGGGGATGAAATAAAATCCGTCTCTGTGGTGGTGGGGGTTGTGGAAACTTGGGGGAGGAGAGACTGGGGGTGTGGAGCTGGGTGACCTTCCTCATTGATCCACTTTTTCCCTCCATTGAATGTGAGCCCCACGAGGCCAGATTTTAGTCATTTTTGATTGGTGCTGTGTCCCTGGTACCTAACACAGAGCCTGGTCAATGGTGGCCACACTGAGCATTTGTTGAATGAATGAATGAATGAATGAATGAATGAACTTCCCCACTCACTCACTTGCACTCATCCTGCAGCTCCTGGCTGGCAGCCGGTGAGGGCTGGGCCAGGGGCCCAGCGCCCTCAAGGGCTCACTGCCTCGAGGAACTCCTGACATCAACCAAGATGAGGCTTTGGGCCCCAGTGCCAAAGGGCAGAAGGCGGGGAAGTTGTTAGGGTCATAGAGGTCAGGAGACAACTCTGAGTGGCAGGTGCACTCAGGCCTAATAGTGCAGATGGAGGCTTGGGTCCAAGTTCGAGACGCCAGCTGTGCAGCCAGCCATTCCCCTCTGGGCCTCTGTCCCTCATCTCCAAGTGGCAGTGACAGTTCCTTTGTCTGGACTGACACCGTGGGGCACCTTCCACCCTGGCTGGCACAGAGCAGCAGTTCAAATGGTGGCTCCTTCATGCTCTACTGTGGGGCAAGGAGCCCAGAGTCTTGTTTTCTTTTTTGTTTGTTTTTTCCTTTTTGGTTTGTTGTTTTTATGTTTTATTAGAGCCCAGAGAGTCTTGGAGTCAGAAGGACTTGTGTTCCAGTCCTGTCCTTAGCACTCTGGCTGTGCCTGGACAGATCTTAGCCTCTCCTCTGTGAGATGGGGTGATAATGGCGCCCCTTCCCTGGCTTGGCAGGAGGGTACATGCTGATACCTGGAATGGTTAGATCTTGATAATCCAGTGCTAACATTTTATTATTATTTAAATAATGGCTTGCCCTAGCCGGTTTGGCTCAGTGGATGGAGCGTCGGCCTGCGGACTCAAGGGTCCCAGGTTCAATTCCGGTCAGGGGCAAGTACCTTGGTTGCAGGCACATCCCCAGTGGGGGGCGTGCAGGAGGCAGCTGGTCGATGTTTCTCTCTCATCGATATTTCTAACTCTATCCCTCTCCCTTCTTCTCTGTAAAAAAATCAATAAAATATATTTTAAAAAGTGGCTCCATTGAGGTATGTAATTCACATACCATAAAATTTACCCTTGTAAATTATACAATTCAGTTGGTTTTTAGTGTATCTATATAATTGTGTGGTCAACACCACTATCTAATTTCAGAGCATTCTCATCATCCCAAAAGAAACCATAACTATTAGCAAATATTTTCAGGATTTGTCCATGTGGCAGCACATATCAGTTCTTTATTCCTTTTTATGACTGAATAATATTCTATCATTTTTTTATCCATTCATATACATTTTGTTTATCCATTTGTAAGTTGATGGAAATTAAACTGTTTCTACGTTTTAGTTCTTATGAATAGTGTTGCTATGAACAAGGTGTACAGATTTTTTTGTGTGGACATGTTTCAGTTCCCCTGGGTATATTCCTAGGAGTGAAATTGCTGTGTCATGTAACATTTTGAGGACCTGCCATAATTTTTCCAAAGCTGGTGCCACAATTTACATTCCCACCCACGTTGTATGAGGGTTCCAATTTCTCCATGTGCTCATCGACACTTGTTAATGTCTGTCTTTTTGGTTTTAAACAGCTATTATTTTTAGCCTCCTCACCCAAGCAGCTGGGAAGGATCTGGGGTGGGAGAGACACTGTCCAGTTCACCCTGCACCCAGGGCTCACCTCGGGACCCTTCCTGGTCACGTCCCTTCCGGGGCATACCCTCCCGGGCAGGGTTGCGTTCGGGGAGATCGCGAGGATAAAGTGGGGTGGCAAAGGGAAGGGAGGGCTCCGCAGTTCCCGCACGTGGTGTGCCCCGAGGCCGGGGATCCCTGGACACGCGGCCTTTCCCGTCTGGCTCCGCCCTCAGACGTGGGCAGGAGAGGCCCCGCCCCTTCCTGGGAGCCGGCCCCGCCCTCGGAGGCGCTCCCTCTGCTTGGAGCGGGGGGAGGAGGCGGAAACCCCGGACACACGGGTGGGAGGAGGGCCGGGGAGACGCTGGCGCGAACCCCTGGCGTCCTGCGCGCCCCGGTTGGGTCCTGCCCGCCTTTTCAGGGGCTTCCATTCATTCTGGGCCAAAGGGGAGCTGCGGCCCCCGCCCCCGACAGCCCTGGGGACGGAGGGGAGCGGGGCCGAGAGGAACGGTTCAGGGCCTGGGAGCGTCTCGCCCCGGGCGAGGGTTCGGGGCCCCGCAGGAAGTTTTGGTGTTTCCAGATGGCTGTCCGGTTCGCAGAATAACAGAGGGTCTAGCTGGCTGAGGCCTGGTCGTCCCAGGATGCGGTTAGGCGTAGGTGCCCAGGACGACGTTCGGGGAGGCGCAGAGTCTGGGGCCCGGCATGAAGCTGTGGGTGGGTGCCCAGGATGGAATTCTGGAGGCGCGGGTTAGGCAGGTCGGGTGTGCAGTATGACATGCTGGGGCGCACAAAGCGAGGGCCGGGGGCTCCCCGGGAGGCCCGGGGGCCGGGCATCAGGATCAGTGCCCCTGGAGCTCGCTAGGGATCCCAGGGGAACAGACCTTGGCCCAGAGCCCGGAGGCGGCTCCGGACGGCGCCGCGGGGGACCGGGCGGGGGCCTGCGGCTGGCCAAGGGCGGAGAAGCGGGGGGTCGGGGTCCCTCCCCCTGGCGCGGGCTCAGGAATCCGCTCAGGGGCGGGCGGAGGCGCCGGGGTGGGCCGCGCCGCGGCGGGCGGGCGGGCGGGGGGCGCTTCCTGGGGCCGCGCGTCCAGGGAGCTGCGCCGTCGGGCCGTCCGTCCGCCCGCAGGCGCTGCCGGAGCCAGCCGAGCCGCCGGAGCCGTGGGCCGCGGGGGCGCCCGGGCCAAGTGAGTGGCGGGCCGTGGGGGGAGGGCGCGAGCCGCAGTCTCGGCCCAGTCGCGGCTGCGAAGAGCGAGGCCCACGCTCCTCCGCCCGCGCCGCTTCGGGACCGGGCGGGGGCGGGGCGGCCTGGGCGGTGGGCCCGGCCCGGCCTGCGCGAGGGGTCGGCTGCGGAGGAGTCCCTCCCTCCCGGGAAGCGCCGGGCTCCTACGTGCGGGCCGAGCGGGAGGCGGCGGGGCCGGAGGCGCTGACCTCTGCCCGCCTCCTCCGCCCAGGATGCTCCCCTTCGCCTCCTGCCTCCCCGGCTCCCTGCTGCTCTGGGCGCTGCTGCTGCTGCTCTTGGGGGCAGCGTCTCCCCAGGATTCGGAGGAGCCCGACAGCTACACGGTGGGGACCGTGGGGCCACTGGCCTGGGATGGGATGGGCAGGGACACAGACCAGGATCCTGGGGGGCTGCTGTTGGGGAAGATCCTCCTCTCCCCTGGTTGGTGGAGCCGCCGGGGCCATTGTTTGGCGCAGTCCCGGGAGGGTGGCTAGGCTCAGGACCCTGACCTTGGCCTGGTCAGTG